CCTGATGTTCTTTAACATTGTTTGTAGTTTTGAGTTTGAAACCACATAATTCTCGTCTCTATGACAACCATGGTTATGACTGATTCTTTGTAGAATCAGTGAATAAAGGTAGAAAAAAAATGGAATAAATAGATGAATTAGTTAAATTGTAAATGTATAATAAAAGTAAAGCAAATAGTAAAGTATCCTAAGAAAAGTTTCAATGTTATCAAAAGAAAAATGCAATTGTTAAATAATAGCAATGTAGAAAGTATCAGTGAATCAGATCAACAGAAAATTTGTAAATCTGAGAAACAATGAAGCGATGAACTAGTACATCAGCGTTCGTAAATCAGAAAGTAGGCGAATCAGTCTATAATATCAAAATCAGATAAACAACAAAATAAACTAAATCAGACTGAGTAAAACTAATTAGATAAATAACAAAATAAACTAAATATAAATAAACGTTTATTTTTGGTACGGTAATCGATATTTACGTCATATTATTTATTTTTATTTCATATAATTTTATAAAACTTGTCTTATTTTATCAAACACTGAAAGCTTTTAGTTGCCAAGAATTTCATATTTGCATTAATTTCGTAATATTAATTTTATTAAGCACATAAATAATTTTTCTTTTAATTCAAAAAAGCTTTGCAGAGATGAAAAAATATTCTTTCCTCTTCAGAGTTAGGAAAAATTTATTTTCTTTGATATAAATATGCTTAATGTTAACTATAACTTTAATTTAAATATTTTAGTAATTTATCCATTTTTTTTGAAAAATGGTTTTTCTCTAATTATATATTTTCCCATTCTTCTTTGGCGTATTTAAAAAAACGTTTATATTTCATTTTAAAAAACTTTTTTATTTCACTTAATTTTAAGCTTTGATATTACATTTTCTTATTTAGTGTTATTTTATTTTCATATTCAATTTATTTGGAAATTGTTATTGACATTATTCTATAAGTTTCACGAAAATATAATATTTTTTTATGATTTAAATTTTTTTTAAAAATAAAATTGCTTAAATGCCTAAAACCCATTTTTTTTGTAAGAAGTTATAAAAAAAGTATTTATATTCACGGAAAAAAACTATTCTCGAGCAATTACCGTATTGCATGGTAATAACATTCCTGGTTAAAAAAAATATAATGCTGGTAATAAGAACTAAAATATATGTTATTTGAGCTTTTCATATAGTAGTTTTACCGTTCACATGTAAACGCTTTACCGGAACTTCTGACTTTCAAATTTAAAGTTCTTATTACCACATATTCAAACCTGAAAAGTAAATTTAACTGAAAAAATGGTTTTTATGTCATGCTCTATGATAAAATTGTTAAATTCTACTGCATTTATCAAATTTTATCACAGATTATAGCAACTACAAATACTTGATTGTTAATTTTCCCAAAATCATTATTAAAACTCTATGGTAAAAATTATCCATCTTTTTGGTGATTCCATAGAACTAGAAACGCGGTAAATTTTATTATATTCTGGTACTTTTCACCATACTTTTTTTCCCGAACCTGATCTCATGGATCACCTCATTTTTTCATCATTTATTCATTTTCATATTGCACAAATGCGAATTAACTAGCTCTAAGAAGGTTTGCGTGTCTTGTTTGTGATATTTCTTGATTTTCCTTGACTTCTGAGATTTTTTTCCAAATTCAGATATGAACGATATTGATTCAACTTGATAAGATGCCACGGTGGCCCAGGGGATAGAGCGTTCGACTCCCAATGTGATGCCACAGGTTCGAATCTCAGCTGGGACTGGTTGACATGAATTCTGCTCCCGGTTCACACGGACCACTGTGCGTACCGGATAGTCAGTGGTGGACGGATTATGGGTTAGAACCCTTTTCAGTCTGGCTAACCGTGGGAAGTTTTTGGAGTTGTCTTCTATATGCATCTTCTAAGGCCGGGATGACCTGGTCGGTAGGGCGCTGGCCCATTTTCAAGAGCTCGTGGGTTTGATCCCCGCCAGCCGAAGACTCCCAGTGTAGTAAACGGTAACTGATGCACGGTTAATCTGTCGAGTAGCAAAGTCCTCCATGTTTCTATAACAAATCATACCTCTGGGGGTACTGAGTTTCCGATTTAGTTCCATCAGAAGACCATTTTGTCCCAATGCTTGATCCAGATATTATCCAGATATTCCCTTGGGTTCAAACTTACATGGCTACGGAGTTGAACATTGATAGTCGTACGCTCAGAATTGGGTCAGCTGTTCAACGCTTGTTATAAAATAAAATAAAATTTGATAAGGAACCGCAATGGCTTAAGGGATAGAACTCTCGCCTATTAATAAGTCGACTCAAGATCGAATTCTAGCGACAGCTTGTTCGAATTGAACATTGTTTCCTTCCACATTACTGACGGAAAATATCGGACGGATCATAGGTTAGAATCCCCTTGATAGGTTGGGTTCAAAAATACAATGGTATGGAGCTGACATTGATTTGCCGTAAACCCAAATCTGCATCGGCTTTACCAAGTCAGTAATAAAGTAAAATAAAATTTAATAGGGTGCTTACTTTGACCGAAAAATAGATTTAATAAAAACAGTTATAATAATAATTACTTAAAATTATGACTTTGTATTTTTAAATAGGATTACACACAATTATTGTATATTTCATTATAATTTACAACAAAATTTTTCAAGCAATTAAAAATTAATTATTTTTATATCGTATCTCAATTTGTTAAAATTTTAATTTTAATTTAATTCGGTAAATAAATAATAATTATTAAGTGTATTAAATTTGGAATTCAAAAATCACAAATGTTATTTTCTTTCGCAAAGAAGAAATAATTATTCATTTATATAATTTAAAACTGTAAAGATAATATTTACCAAAATCATTATTATTCAATCAAATATTTATTTTTTGAGGATAAAATCAGTCCATCATCTATCTGTTCTACTTAAGCCAAGAAATGAATGATCGATAAATGCACTTTTTTAATTTTTTTTCAATGAAATAACTAAATTAATCTGACTGAACTAATAAAAATTGGAACAATATTCTTTTCGAAATTGTTGGAAAAATATAAAGTACTCAGATTTTCCTCGACTGGGAAAATAATTACTTACCAAAGAGATTCAAATGATAATGCATTGATTTTTTTTAAAAAGTAAAAGAAACGAAGTTGTTTAATTTGACTATTAATAGATTTTGTAGATTTATATTGCTCATTACGTAAATCTTATTTTAAAAACTTTAAGTTCGTTACTAACCGCAATCTTAAAAATCATCTGAACTAAATTGAGCATTACACTGAAGGTCAATAATTTATTTGCCGGAATACTCAAAAAATTAATTGGATTATATTCTAAAAACTAAGATGAACTTAATAATTATGTAATAATTAACTTTAATTTCGACTCACAGATATACTCTAGTGTTTTCAGTTAATTTTATTTCAGTTTATTATCACAAATAAAAGTATTCAAATTTTCAATAAATTAATGTTGAAATTTTTTTCCTAGAAGAATGGAATTTTTAAGTATTTAATGTTATATTACTGTTTATTTTACCTTAGAATTTTGAATGCTTAAAATGTTTTTTATACATACTTTATTAATGTTTTTTTTTATTATCACTTGATATACATCTATGCTTTAGGAACATTCAATTTATTTGCATTGTACAGTACGCAAAAAAAGTGAGCATGTTGAAGAATTTTTGACCTAATGATTAACCAGTAGAACTCAATCTGAATGGTTCAAGGTCATAACTCTGAAATATGCTGTTTAAAAAGCATCTCTGTCCGAGAGCTGCAGCAGATCTCGCTTTTTACTTCTGAGCAGCTTATTCATCTCGCCTGGTATTTCATGTTTCCCACCATTTTTTTCCACATTTTTAGCATGGATCTTCTTCTCTTTCTTTTACCATCCGGTGCCAATTTTGAGTCTACTCATGGAATTTCAGCAGGAGGCATTCTTGAGATTGTGACCGGTCAATTCTCACTTTCTCCTTTCGATGTGGTGCTTATTAAGACAATTCATTGAAGCATCATTGGCGTCAATAATAGTTTGGCAAATTCATTCCCTAAAACGGAGTAGCATTTTTGGTTTTTGTACTTCATGAATTAAAAATAAAAGGGATTTGTAGAGGAATTTTATAGTTTCTCGTAGCAAAAGAAGCTTGTATATTTCGGTTTGACTTAATTTTTGATTAATTCAATAAGAAGTGTGTTTAAATTTTTTTATTTGAAATATTTTTAAGCTAATATAGGGAATATTATCTTTCGTGATGTTTAAAAGTTTAAAGGTTTAAAAAAGCTAACGAGTGTTTGCAATTCTTACATTAAAAAAACAAATAAATAGCTACTCGTCTAAAAATAGTTATTAATAATAATTACTATTACTAATAATTAATATTATAATAATTAATATCGCTAATAATTAATATTATTAATAATTAATAATAATAATTATTATTATTAATAATTTTTAGCAACAATTATTATTATTATAAATAAATTTAAGTAACAATAATAATTATTATTA